GTTGGGGCAAATCTGCCGCCAGTGTGACCAATGCAGTGATGCTGCCTGGGTCTGCAGAGAGCCTGAGCCCATTGCTGTGAAAGGGGGAGATCTGCCACCAGTGTGACCAATGCAGTGATGCTGCCTGGGTCTGCAGAGAGCCTGAGCCCATTGCTGTGAAAGGGGGAGATCTGCCACCAGTGTGACCAATGCAGTGATGCTGCCTGGGTCTGCAGAAAGCCTGAGCCCATTGCTCCAAGAACTGCCTCTATTCCCTTCAAATGCCCCAAGAGGCTAGTTTAAATAGTGTTGCAAACCCCAGGGGTTCATAGATCATGCACCAGCCCCCCTCCCTCCCAAATCATGAGATTGACTTCCAAATCCTGAGATTTCAGTAAATAACCCTTTGGGGTCTTACTTACTCTATGGCCTCAGGCCCGGTAGGTGGGGTCACATTTCTGAGCTGCTCTCCCCACACACAATGTCCGGAGAGTGACTTGGCTTTTTAAACAGAAGCTGAGTTTTTTCTCGGCATAACCCCATGACTCCAGGCACTGGGGCTTGCAGAGAAGCCCTGAGCTGCTGATGCCACAGGATTAACTCTTCCATTGTCTTCCCAGAGAATGTGTGGGAGACTGATGGGGAGTGGGGGGTAGTAAGACCTACTTGGGGAGGGGGGCAGAGGTATGGTTTTAGCTGAGTCTTGACCAGCTCTTGACCAGCCTTCTGCCAGTGGCTGGAGCCTGCCCACCCCTCTCAGGTGGAGATCAAAGGAAAAGACCCTGCCCTTCCAGAGGTCAGTGATAGGAGGCACTGAGGCAGCTGAGAAGAGGGACTGGATGCGGCACAACCTGGCTTATCCTGACATTTTGGAGGGGAGGGTGTAGGATTGAATCAGGGTCCCCATGAGCCTCTGGGATCTCTCCCCGGCTGTGGAGGGGAGTGGGGTCTAGTGGTTAAAGCTGGGGAGTTGAGAGCCCAAAGTGGGAGGCAGGGGAAGGGAGTGAAAGCAGAACTGGTGCTAATTATTGTCCTCTCCC